GGGTGTGTGCTGCTGCTGTGAGCCCGTGGAGCGGGCCTGTGTGGCAGCTGGGAGCCCGTCGGCCGTTGCGTCTTTTATTTATTATTTTTTTAAATTATTTTTGCTGTAAGATGTGTGCACTCGCCAGAGAGACAGAGACAGAAAACTAGAGACCACCCCCCGGGGGGTAGCCACACCACGATCCCTTCTCCTCTCGGGATCTTGGGCACGCGTTTGTGAGTTGTAAGCCAGCAGGTCTGGGACTAGAACTGACCTACGTGGGCGTCCAGCGACGGAACCCTCCCATCTGCTAGCCCCCGTTGCACCTTAGAGCCACTCCCTGGCTGAGCCTGTCTCCCCCCTTATGTGGCAGCTGGGAAGTCCGGGCCTGCTTTCCTCCACTCCCAGCTGGCGACTGGAGGGTGTGTGTGTCTGCCCCCTCGTAGCCGGGTCTCCTTCCTGCTCTGTGCCTCTCAGTCTCTGCGTCTGCACGCCTCTGTGAGCTGCCACGCACTGCTTCTGTGAGCTGCCGCATCTTCACATGGTCAGGGTCGCGCCCGAGTCCTCTTGCTGTGTAAGGCGTCTGTAGGCATCACCCCTGCAGCCGTGAATTGCAATCGATGTTGGTCTACGGAACGCTGACCTGCCGTCTCACGAGGTGGTGCCACGGCGTCCCCTCAGAGAAGTGGGGACGGAGCTGCCCTGCGGGGAGGGGAGGCAGGCCTGGTCTCGTGGCGCTATGTATAGGACAGTTACTCAGCAGCCGGCCTGGCCCGCCCCGCTCCCCATTCTATTCCTGTCCCGGGTACACACACTCCTGTGGCTGCGGTGGCCATGTTGGTTTGTCATGGCAGGCGTCTTGTGCAGGGACTCAGGGAAGTCACCTTGGACAGTGCTGGTTAGCGCGTGCATCTCAGCAGCGAGGTTCTGCTCTCACAAACAGGAGAGACGCAAGGCCGGGATGTTTCCACGCCCACTCCCCGGTCCCCTGGAGCCCAAGCTTGCAGCCCTGGGATGCAGCAGGTCCGGCTGGGTCTTCAGTGCTAGCTGCGTGACACAGGACATGTCGCCTTGGGAATTTGGGGGAGATACTGCTACACTTCACACAGAGCAAACAGCCACGTCCCACTGTGCTTAGTATAAAATGTCGATTCTCAGGACCTGCAGGAGGGCGTGGTGCTTAAGGCACTGGTCTCCCACATGACCAGCCGTGGTCCAAGTCCTGGACCTGATGGCTTGAAGATCATACTGGGGGCCCAGCAGGTGCCTTAGTTGTTAATGCACTGGACTCCCATGGAGTCATGGTTCAAGTCCCGGACTCAGCAGTTTGAAGCTATTACCGGGAGCATGTGCATGTGTGCCCAGAATCCCAAGAGGAGCAGAGATTGTGGCGTGGCCATCCCCCCTGGGGCGTGATTTCTCACTTTCCCTCTCCGGAGTGCATGCACCCTAGGGCAAAACCTTAAATAAAAGAAAAAAGTTGGCTCCTGTAGATTTTGAAGATTGGACGTGTGTGTGTTGCTGCTGCTTCAATTTTCAAAAGACTGTGATTTTTTTTTTTTTTTGAGAGGTTTTCGCTATAGGGCGCGTGTGCTCGCCAGACAGACAGAGAAAGACATAGAGACAGAAAGTGAGAAATCACCCCCCAGGGGGGATGGTCATGCTGCAATACCTTCTCCTCCATTCTCCTCTCGGGATCTTGGGCACGCACGCACACGTGCCCGGCGTGAGTTTAAGCCACCGGGTCCGGGACGCAAACCGCGGTCGACTAAGTGGGAGTCCAGCGACATAGCCATTACGCTAACTGCTGGTTCCCAAGACTGTGATCTTTTTAACGGATGAGGACTGAGGCTTTGCCTCCTGTGATTCCAAAGCGGGATTTCCTGGCCCAGCCAGGACACAGTCCCGCTGAGCCGATGGTGGGGAGGAGAGGTTCAGGCCAGCCATGCCTCAGCACTCCTCGCTTCCTCTCTCCAAAGCACAAGCTCAAGTCAGCCCAGAAGGACAAGGTGCGCCAGTTCATGGCCTGCACACAGGCGGGCGAGGGGGCGGCCATCTCCTGCCTGACGCAGAGCGGCTGGAAACTGGACGAGGCCACCAACAGCTTCTTCCAGAACCCAGATGTGGCCCACAGGGAGCCCGTGCAGGATGTCGTGGACAGGAGGAAGCTGGAGCAGCTGTACAGCAGGTACAGAGGTACGGCAGGGCGGGGGGCAGAGGGAGCAGGGGCGCCCCTACAGCAGGTGCAGAGGTGCGGGGCGGGGGAGCGGGGGCAGCCGGGGCAGCCGTGCAGCAGGTGCAGAGGTGCGGGGCGGGGGAGCGGGGGCAGCCGGGGCAGCCGTGCAGCAGGTGCAGAGGTGCGGGGCGGGGGAGCGGGGGCAGCCGGGGCAGCCGTGCAGCAGGTGCAGAGGTGCGGGGCGGGGGAGCGGGGGCAGCCGGGGCAGCCGTGCAGCAGGTGCAGAGGTGCGGGGCGGGGGAGCGGGGGCAGCCGGGGCAGCCGTGCAGCAGGTGCAGAGGTGCGGGGCGGGGGAGCGGGGGCAGCCGGGGCAGCCGTGCAGCAGGTGCAGAGGTGCGGGGCGGGGGAGCGGGGGCAGCCGGGGCAGCCGTGCAGCAGGTGCAGAGGTGCGGGGCGGGGGAGCGGGGGCAGCCGGGGCAGCCGTGCAGCAGGTGCAGAGGTGCGGGGCGGGGGAGCGGGGGCAGCCGGGGCAGCCGTGCAGCAGGTGCAGAGGTGCGGGGCGGGGGAGCGGGGGCAGCCGGGGCAGCCGGGCAGCAGGTGCAGCGGGGCAGGGCAGGGGGAGCCGGAAAGAGAGGGGCAGTGAAAAATCACCTCCCAGGAGGGATGGCGATGGCACAGTCCTATCTCCGTTCCCCTGTCCGGATTTTGGACATGCACACACACTTGCCAGTGTGAATTTTAAGCCACCAGATCCAAACTCGAACTGTGGTCGGCCCTGTGGGAGTCCAGCACCCTAACCACCACGCTGGTCCCTATGACGGCAGTTCTGAAGTGAGATCAGGCGTCACCCGAGTCCGCTCAGCCTTCAGGGCTGTCCCGGGCCAGGGCCAGGAGAGGCTGCGGCACTCCAAGGCTGACTCGCTTGCCTTCTCTTTGCAGCGGGTTTAAGGCTCCACTTCCCAGAACTTCAATACACAGTGACAAAACCAGTCCCTCATTTTAAATAGGCGTAGCACAAATAGACTAATTTACATAGTTTGTTTGTTTATTCGTGTGTGTGTGTGTGTGTGTGTGTGTGTGTGTGTTTAGAGAGGTTTTTGCTATAGGATGCGTGCGCTCCCCAGAGAGACAAAGCGAGAAATCATCCCCGGGGGGATGGCCACACCACAATCTCTTCTCCAGTCTCCTCTTGGTATCTTGGGCGTGCATGCACACGTGCCTGGCATGAGTTTTAAGCCACTGGATCTGGGACTTGAACCATGATCAACTACATGGAAGTCCAGTGACATAATCGTTATTCCATCTGCTGGTCTCAGGTTAATTTACATTTTAAATTCTTGTTTATTTTCAATTGAGAATACCACATGATACTTTCATCTTTGTTTAGATCGAAAAACACATTGGAAATTGTATTCTTTTCATCTTGGTTCAGAAACACTCTGTTTAAAAATTAACACAATATAAAAGCATTCCAGATGTGTACTTACAGTTCTCAAAACGTGAGGCACCTATCTAAGCATCGGTGCGCGCTGGGCCTGCAGGGAGCGCCGCGATTGCACAGGTCCTCACGTCACCCAGTCACGCACTGTGTAATGACGCCGTGAGCCGGCACGCTCCAGCTTAGTTCCCTCTCCTCGTCGCTCTGTAACTTTATCCCTGCATTTTCAGTCATTTAAGTGGAGGCATGGTGTAATCATTGTGGGGGCCGAAAATAGAGAACAGGAACCAGCAGTTGGCCTAATGGCTATGTCACTAGACTCCCATGCAGTCAACCACAGTTCACACCTGGGGCATGTGTGTTTGTGCCCAAGATCCCGAGAGGAGAATGTTGAAGGGATTGCGGCGTGGCCTTCCCCCCGGGGGGTGATTTCTCGCTTTCTGTCTCTCTGCCTCTGTCTGTCTGGCGAGCGTGCACGCCTTACAGCAAAAACCTCTCCAAACAAACCGACGGACAGACTAGAGAGCAAAGCGGGTCAGCAGGTGATACGGCAGCTACATTGCCAGGCTCGCACATGGCCCACCACGGTTCAAGCTCCAGACCCGGTGGCTGGAAAAAATCACACTGGGCACGTGTGTGTACATGCCAAGGTCCCAGGAGAATGTTGAAGGGATTGCGGAGTGGCCGTCCCTTCCAGGGGTGATTTCTCGCTTTCCCGTTCTCTGTCCGTGTCCCTCCCCCACTTCCCCTCCCCCAGCAAACGCATGCCCCCTAAGGCATAAACCTCTAAAAAAAACCACAACAAAATAGAGTACAAATACTTTAGACAGATGTGACCTCGGTTTTTAGGGCCACATTTACAAGTGAACGCACACGTCCAGGATGACTCATAGCACTCAACCTCGGTGCAGATGGTCCACCAAGCGTCACGGTGCGGGTCTGGGAGACAGGACCTTTGTCCCACAGGCCACGGTGCGGTGGTTTCTCAGCATTAGAGGACAGGGCCAGAGGGCTCCACGTAATGTGTGTCACCATCTTTGATAACGACATGTATGTGGGTAATGAAGCGTGTGCTTCTTGATTATGACCAAGTTCAATTTCATGTGAAGGGAAAGAAAAGCTTTTTGCACGTAATCCTTTCTTCCTTTTAGGTTTTTGCCATAAGGGTGTGTGCTCACCGGGCTACAGCAGAGAGAGTGGAAGAGTGAGAGACTAGCCCCTGGTGGGTGGCCACGCCGCAGCCCCTTCTCCATCCCCCTCTCGGCTGCGTGCGCGCACACAAACATGCCCAGCGTGTATTTCTTTCTTTCATATTTTTTTAAGGTTTTGCCCTAGGGCGTGTGCTTTGCCAGAGAAAGACAGTGATAGGGAAAGTGAGGCATCAGTCCCCAAGGGGGGATGGCCATGCTGCAGTTCCTTCTCTTCCTGGGATTTTGGTTCTGCACACATAAGCATCTAGCGTGATTTTCGAGCCACCAAGTCCGGGACTCAAACCGCATACAGCCCTGTGGGAATGCAGCAGCTACACCACCGTACCTGCTGGCCCGGTCTTTACTTGTGCACTTGGAGCTGCAGGTTTTCTGTTTGCAGACAACAGAATGTGCACTTGACAGTGGGGTCACCATCTGAAATCACACAGAGTCTGAAATCACTAAACCTAGCTTGGTGAGGTCTTGCGAGACCCTTTAATAGTGTTTTCTGTTGGAGTTTCTGACAGACAACTGCCAAGTTCTCATTCTTTTTATTTTTTATGGTGGGGGGTATAGAGGGTTTTGCTATAGGGCACGTGCGCTCGTCAGAAAGATAGAGACAGAGAGACAGAAAGTGAGAAATCACCTCCCGGGGGGAAGGCCGTGCCGCAATCCCTCCTCCTCCATTCTCCTCTGGATCTTGGGCACGCACGCACATGCACCTGGTGTGATTTTAAGCCACCCGGTCTGGGACTCGAACCACAGTCAACTACGTGGGAGTCCAGTGACATAGCCATTATGCCAACTGCTAGTCCCCCCAAGTTCTCACTCTTATAAATGGAACATGGCAGGCAACCTGCACTGCAAGGCTGTCAGGTGTGGGTGCCTGAATTAAGTGATTGGGGACATGACACCTGTGTGGTGTCCTTAGAGCCGGCCCGTGAAATACCTTAACAAGCAAACGTCAATAGTTCCTCTACTTTGGTGAGTCATGACAAGCTCAAGTGTTAGAGGCACTTCCTGACCACAGTAACTGTTGTAGCGGTTTGCCTTTGAGTCCTCTGAAATTCTGTAGGTTGGATTGTATTTCACTTTAGGGGGACTGAAGTGTTTCTGGATGAAGTCCCTGATCCGCCCCCCCAAACCTCAGAAACCCAGCTTTAAAGTGTCCGTGATCCACCCCCAAACCTCAGAAACCCAGGCTTAAAGTGGCGCTTATTAGGGCAGCAGACGGCATGAGGTCCGGCCAGTGGGGCCCTGTGTGGCAGACTACAGCCCAGGGGCTGGACCCAGCACCCTGGAAGACACGGCAGACACCATGCGAGGGCGCCTGACGTCTGGAGAGGGAGTGGAGGAGAAGGGCTGCAGCACGGCCATCCCTCCTGCGGGTGCGTCTGGGCTTTGTCTGTCTTTATCTCTGGCCAGTGCCCACGGCCTGTAGCAAGCTTTTCTGATAGGGCTTGCTTGCTGCTCGCTCTCTTCTGCATACCACAGACAGCTGGGCACGTTGGGCACGTTGGTCGGTGCAATAGAGCAGTGCCGTGATTCGAACCACTCATCAGACTTCTTTGGAATACTGTGACTTCTTCTTCCCGATTTTAACTACAGACCCACAAGACGAAAACAAAATTGGAATTGATGGGATTCAACAGTTTTGTGATGACTTAAGCCTAGACCCTGCCAGCCTCAGCGTTTTGGTGATAGCGTGGAAATTCAGGGCAGCAACTCAGTGTGAATTCAGCAAACAGGAGTTTGTAGACGGCATGACAGAGCTGGGGTAAGTCATTTCTAGTATGAATTTGTGGAAAAGAAGACATTTTTTGCATTATTTATTTATTGTAAGAATTATTTTTATTTAAATATACGTAATTATTTATTTGACCAGAGAGGGGCAGAGTGAGAGAGAGGGGGAAAGCGAGAAAGCAAGCCGTCAGACCCTGGAAGACACGGCAGACACCGTGCGAGGGCGCCTGACGTCTGGAGAGGGAGTGGAGGAGAAGGGCTGCAGCACGGCCATCCCTCCTGCGGGTGCGTCTGGGCTTTGTCTGTCTTTATCTCTGGCCAGTGCCCACGGCCTGTAGCAAGCTTTTCTGATAGGGCTTGCTTGCTGCTCGCTCTCTTCTGCATACCACAGACAGCTGGGCACGTTGGGCACGTTGGTCGGTGCAATAGAGCAGTGCCGTGATTCGAACCACTCATCAGACTTCTTTGGAATACTGTGACTTCTTCTTCCCGATTTTAACTACAGACCCACAAGACGAAAACAAAATTGGAATTGATGGGATTCAACAGTTTTGTGATGACTTAAGCCTAGACCCTGCCAGCCTCAGCGTTTTGGTGATAGCGTGGAAATTCAGGGCAGCAACTCAGTGTGAATTCAGCAAACAGGAGTTTGTAGACGGCATGACAGAGCTGGGGTAAGTCATTTCTAGTATGAATTTGTGGAAAAGAAGACATTTTTTGCATTATTTATTTATTGTAAGAATTATTTTTATTTAAATATACGTAATTATTTATTTGACCAGAGAGGGGCAGAGTGAGAGAGAGGGGGAAAGCGAGAAAGCAAGCCGTCAGGCCTGGGACTTGAACCACAGTCGGCCATGTGCACACCAGCGCCCTGAGCCACCAGCCAGCTGCCGCCCCCAGCATTATTTATTGTACGGCAAGCTGTGAATAGTATTTCCTACTTACGTTCTTTGTATAGCTTACAGATTTTTTCTGTATTTGCTTGGTTTCCTTTGCGATTACAATTTAAAGTCTTATTTACTGTTTTTATTCACATTGATTACTTTTGTAATTCATTTTCTTCTTTGTTTTTCCTTTCAGTTTTGAATTGACAGTAAATACTGACATGGTTTTTTCTACCATTTAGTTTGAGATGTATACACCATATGCTAAGTCTTCACTGACTGTGTTGTCGTGTTAAACATGGAGAAATGTCATTTGTCTGTCGCTTGTAACATTTCTCTATTCTACCAACAGGGCTGGGTAAAAGCATCATTAATAACTTACGATGTCTCTCCCTTCCCAGAAAAGCCGTGGAATAAATGAAAGCACCTAGTGTGTGCTGCCTTAAATAAGTAACCTGCTGGGCCTTTGGAGCAGCTCTGTCCACTCAGGCCTGCTCCTACCTCTGGAGTTTACTTTCACTTTTACTTAATAAATGACCTTTTTCTTACCAAAAATAAATAAATAAAGTAAGCTTACTGAAATGCTTCATGAGGTGGTGTGAAAGCCGACTGGTGTAACTTGCTGATAGTTCTGGTTTTCAGATAGTTGAATGTTGACAGCTTGACTAGCTTATTTTTAGCTGCTGAGAAGAGATTAGAACCTTCTGGTAAACATGTTCTCAAAGCACACACTTGGAGCAGTCGGGGAGAGACATAGAGCCCATGTTCTGCAACACGATGCCTCTGCTCTGCGTGTTGGCCTTGGCTGTTCAGATGGAGAGCTCTCCAACCTTACCACGTTCCTGGTGGTTGTATGAGAACACACGTAGCACACACTCCTTCACGTCCTCCCAGAGCGTTCTAGGGAACTCCGTGCCTCCAGTCTGGAGTACACATAACGGACGCACACTCAAGTGAGAGCCACGTAGTGGTCAAAGGTTTGTTTCACCAAGAAGGCGATCGAACGTGTCCTTGCGCCTACGACTGTCCCAGTGGTTTTACATGTCCATGCACCTACTGACATGTCCCAGTGGTTTTACGTGTCCGTGCACCTACGACTGTCCCAGTGGTTTTACATGTCAGTGTCTGTGCGCCTACTGACATGTCCCAGTGGTTTTACATGTCCATGCACCTACTGACATGTCCCAGTGGTTTTACGTGTCCGTGCGCCTACGACTGTCCCAGTGGTTTTACGTGTCCATGTCTGTGCGCCTACTGACGTGTCCCAGTGGTTTTACGTGTCCATGCACCTTCTGACGTGTCCCAGTGGTTTTGTGTCCATGTCTGTGCGCCTACTGATGTGTCACAGTGGTTTTACGTGTCCATGTCTGTGCACCTACTAACGTGTCCCAGTGGTTTTACGTGTCCATGTCTGTGCACCTGCTGACGTGTTCCAGTGGTTTTACGTGTCCATGTCTGTGCGCCTACTGACGTGTCCCGTGGTTTTATGTGTCCCTGCACTTACCGACTTGTTCCAATAGTTTCCATGTGTTTGTGCACCTACCAATGTGTTTCAGGATATTAAAAGCAAAAATAAACAAAGGAAAAGAAGCAAACCTCCAGAGTGAAGAATGCTCACACGTGTTTTAGGACCTGACAGAACAGCTGGATGAGCAGGAGGAGGTACGAGACTGGAGCCGTACAGATGGCCCGACAGCTGTATTCTGAACAGTATCTCCGACGGCGAAGCATACATGTTCATTTTCAAAGACACACAGAGTGTTATTAAAAGGGGTCATGAACCAGACCAGCACGTGTCAAAGGATTGGAATGATGCAGAGTATGTCTGCAGACCATGAACAGTGGGCTAGCATTCGACTAGCAGTGTAACAAGAGGATCATTAGATAGGTTAAAGTATGTGTGGACATTGTACACCTCTGGATAACTCTTTGAGTGAAAAAGAAATGACCAAGGAAATTAGAAGATATTTTGAGTGATCAAAAGATACTACGGGGACCAACAGATGGCATAGCAGTTATATTGCTAGACTTCCACATGGCTGACTGTGATTTGAGTCCTGGACCTGGTAGTTGAGAATCATGCTGGGCACGTGTATGCACGTGCCCAAGATCCTAGGAGGAAAATGAGAGGAGAAGGGATTGCAGTGTACCCATCCCCTCTGGGGAGTGCTTTTTCTCTTTCCCC